TTTTGCAACGGACCTGCCTGGAAAAAAAAATTCCCAGGCTAACGGCTTATATGCTGAAATAGCTTACTACTTCCTGTTTCTGGAAAACGGAAAAAAATATAGGTTGTTGCTATAAATTTTTTGCAAAATCGGGTGACGCGACTGCGTTGAAATTCCACATAGAACGCAGCTTTTTGGGTCTTCAGGCGACAAACTGCATCACCCTTGCTCGCGGACTGATACCAAAAACGTTTCGCTGGCCACCCAACTTCACCACGCCAAAAAACATTACAACCCCAAGTTTTTTTTTATTAATTCAAAACCTATTTAAAAATCTACAACCATCGCCGAGCTATGGGGAGCCAAGCCTAGCATGACAACCTCGCAGATCCGGCGATTTACTGCGCACTATTTGGAACCCTGGTCAGAATTAAACTCCGACCCGAAACCGGAACTATTTAAACTTTTTTTTGTCTAAAAACCCAATTTTATTATTGACAGCATTTAAAGCTTGACCACTTTAATTTCATTTTTTTCAGTAGGCTGAACATGGCAACAGCAGGGCACGGGTCTCCTACCGGAGTTAGTCAGAACTTCTGTGATGGGTCTCCCATCAGGGTTTCCCAGGTCAACTGTGACAGCAAGACAAGCAATGCTGAAGACCAGATGGCAGCACAACAAGTCAACTTGGATAAAGCTGGTGACAAACCCTACATGTGTGGGGAGTGTGAATATATGGCAACTCAAAAGTCCCACTTATCCCTACACATGAAAACCCATACAGGAGAAAAACCCTACAAGTGTGACCAGTTTGACTATTCTGCAGCACAGAAATCTCATTTAGACCGACATCTAGCAAAACACACCGGTGAGAAACCCTACATGTGTGGGGAGTGTGGGTACAGAACAGCTAAGAGGTTCAACTTATCCAAGCATATGAGAACTCATACAGGAGAAAAACCCTACAAGTGTGACCAGTGTGACTATTCTGCTGTAAGAAAATCTCATTTAGACTATCATCGCACCAAGCACACTGGTTCGAAACCCTACATGTGTGAGGAGTGTGGGTACAGGGCCGCTTACAAGTCTCACTTATCCCAACATATAAGAACCCATACAGGAGAAAAACCCTACAAGTGTGACCAGTGTGACTTTTCTGCAGCACAGAAATCCACTTTGGACAAACATCTAGCAAAACACACTGGTGAGAAACCCTACATGTGTGGGGAGTGTGGATACAGGGCAACTCAAAAGTCCCACTTATCCCGACATATGAAAACCCATACAGGAGAAAAACCCTACAAGTGTGACCAGTGTGACTATTCTGCAGCACACAAATCCTCTTTGGACCAACATCTAGCAAAACACACCGGTGAGAACCCCTACATGTGTGGGGAGTGTGGGTACATGCCAGCTTCGAGGTCACACTTAACCCGACACATGAGAACTCATACAGGAGAAAAACCCTGCAAATGTGACCAGTGTGACTATTCTGCAGCACAGAAATATTCTTTAGACCAACATGTAGCAAAGCACACTGGTGAGAAACCCTACATGTGTGAGGAGTGTGGGTACAGGACAGCTTACAAGTCTGACTTATCCAAACATATAAGAACCCATACAGGAGAAAAACCCTACAAGTGTGACCAGTGTGACTATTCTGCAGCACAGAAATCCACTTTGGACCAACATCAAGCAACACACACTGGTGAGAAACCCTACATGTGTGGGGAATGTGGGTACAGGGCAGGTAAAAAGTCTCACTTATCCGAACATATGAGAACCCATACAGGAGAAAAACCCTACAAGTGTGACCAGTGTGACTATTCTGCAGCAAAGAAATCTGCTTTGAACTTACATCTATCTAAACACACCGGTGAGAACCCCTACATGTGTGGGGAGTGTGGGTACAGGACAGCTTTGAGGTCCAACATAACCCGACACATGAGAACCCATACTGGAGAAAAACCCTAGAAGTGCGTCCAGTGGACAAACATCTAACAAATCACACCGGTGAGAAACCCTACATGTGTGGGAAGTGCGGATACAGGACAGGTCAAAAGTCTAACTTATGTTAACATATGAGAACCCATGCAGGAGAAAAACCCTACAAGTGTGACCAGTGTGACTATTCTGCAGCTCAAAAACTCAGTTTGGTTGTTGATGTAGCAAAACACACCGGTGAGAAACCATACATGTGTGGGAAGTGTCGATACAGGACAATTCTCAGGTCCAGCTTATTCCGGCATATGAAAACCCAGACATCAGAAAAACCCTACAAGTGTGACCAGTGTGACTATTCTGCAGCCTCTAAGTCTGCCCTAACTCAACATATGAAAATTCACACGGAGGCAAATTTGCAACTGTGACCATCTCGTTGTGACATTTTGTACGGACCATCTTACTATAGCTTCTCAACCTCGATACTAATTACCTTGATAGACAAATAGAATAGGTATATTCCGTCATGATGTATAATAGTTAAAAATAGGCATACAGTTTTCCCAAGGAAACGTTGTAGTCAAATGCCTATGTCCACTGCATTTTTACCTTCGCCAAGAAGTTTATGTTTTCAGAGGCGTTCGTGTGTGTGTGTGTGTGTGTGTGTCTGTCTGTCTGTAAACACGATAACTCAAGAAGGCTTAAATGGTGTCATGAAAGTTCATCTGTGTTGGTAGTTACATGTTTAAAGTTAAAACTTTTGGTCCAACACAAAAGTTCGAAGTGTGACGTCACACTTCAAAGAAGCCACGTGACAAGCTTCACTGGGTCAGTCTACTGAGGAAGACTGGTCGAAAGCTCTAGGTGAGAGAATTTTTTGTGTTGGACCAAAAGTTTTAACTTTAAACAAGGCTTAAATGGACTGTCTTCAAACTTGGTAGGTGAGTCTTGATGATACCTCAAAATGATTAGATTTTGGCCCCCCTGGCGGCTTGTTGTGGTACTGTAGCGGAACTTCCGGTTTTGATATCTCATGATCTGGACGTGCTAGGGTCACGAAATTTGGATGGTAAGTAGCTCTTGTGGAGGGAAAGAAATGACGTAGGTTGCAGCTTGCTCTGGAACTGCAGGGGCGGTTCTTTAAAAATATTCATAAGAGGATAACTCCAGAACAGGTTGACGGATCGTCATGATTTTTGGTATGTGGGCAGCGTAAGTGACGCTTGACATAATTATGCGACAATTATGTAAATCTGGATGTAATTTGCATAATTTATGAAGAAATGCTATAAACCAGTTGCATTACATGATAGGACTATTAAGCTTGTGATATATGTAATTTAGAACAAGAGAAACACAGGCAAATATTAATTACGTAAATTAACACTTTATTTGCATAATTAATGAGAAAATGGTATAATTCCATAATGGTAACTGCCTGGAATTTCATACTTTGGGTATATGAAAGTTACGTAAAGGTGAACATCATTAAACATAACTTATTTAAATGAGGACCTTATTTGCAGAATTTATGAGGAAATGCTAGAATGGCATAATTTGTTACGATAAGACTGTCTTTTGAAGATCCTATTTGCAAAATCAGGGGGAGGAATCTATAATTTGTCAGTCACAAAGATTCACATTATTTGGCGAAGGTATGAGATGGTGTAACTCTAGTTGCATACATCTCGCTGATATTGATTCTCTCCATGTATTTGTCCACTGGCTCCTATAAGAGATGGTATAATGTAGGTATGTAGCAGTACGGTACATCATTTAATTGTTTCAAAAATATCCACAACCCCACGAAATCTAGCATAAATCATTACAAGCAACTCCTTTTTTTTCACAAGGATACATCATTTGGATATACAAGCCATATACATGTACATATACATCATGCCGACCTAATGATAATCAATCCAGCATTATTCCATTTCTTCTCCAGCTATTGCAAGACATAATGCATGGTTTGTTTACTTATTACTTTAGTGTTATATTCTTAACATTTTTAATCACTAGTTTTACATACAGCCATTTTTGCACCTACTGTAACTTTGAAAACTACCTTCGCAGAGACTCAAAAGTCTGCAATCAAAACTTACATGATATAGTAAAAATTATAACATTTTTATTTTAAAAATTATGTCAAATCATGATAACGTCAGCCTTACGTGATTCCATGGCCCCTCAAAATCAGGATGAATTAAAGCCATTGCATTGCTTTTCTTAAGCATAAAATTAAAGATACCACTTACATGTAATTTGTCATTTCTTGAACAAGTCTACTACAATGTTGTCTTGGTTAATACACATTACTTGACAAGTTTTTTTTTTGTGTTCACTTACACCTCCTGCTAACAAAATTTAAAAAAATCTAGAGACCTAGAATTGAAGTTAGAGTATGCTTTCTTCTCATGCACAATAATTCGTTTCCTCTTGATACGACCATTCTTGGACAATGACAGCGTTCGCTGTTTTCATTAATACACAATACATTCATTACAATAAAAAATGCGTCTTTAAAGTATTTTGACTTCAGTAACTTCTTTTGTTGACAGTGCTACGTACCAATGTCCTTGTAAATGCATATCGGTAATTGTAGCCTTCTAAGTAAGAGCACGTGTCCAAAGACAAAGGAACTTTGAAGCACGTACACTTAAAAGCATGTACACCTGTACAAAGGTGCCTTATACATCTTTCTTAAAAAGGCTTTAAACCGATACAGACGACTTAAAATGCAAGCAAAGAAGCTCTCAAAAAGCAACCACCATCTTCAGCTACTGAAAAGAAGTCATGTGACCAAGATATTAATGGTCAACACAGGTTTCGTGAATGTTGGGGATTATAATTCTTTTTTTTTATTTTTGTATTTTACATAACATATACAAAAGGATATAGAAAACATCATTTACTAATCCAGAGAAAGAAAAGTACAGTGGTATTGAACATAAAGATTACATTGAGCTGTATATAAACATAATATACAGGACAGTAGTAGATGGCAAACACTTTTGGTCCAACGCTGTCTTTGATCAAAGATGTTTTTCTTGATCAGGTAACATGGATTGACTTTTGTATCATTTCGGAGTCTTGCAAACGTAGGGAAGCTCCCAGCTGCATACGTGATCGTTCCACTGCCCTTTCTTCCCCTCTGCGCGGATCCACATATTGCTGTCGTCCTGTTTAAATGTTACAAAATCAAAGACTATGCAAATAGCTTTTAATTTTTCATTCAGTATCAGTATCTTTGGTCATTATATATAGTAGACTTCTTGCTTGCTTAAAAACATAACATGAGTCGTAACATAAGTCTATTAACCCTGCAAAATGAATATAAAAAATGTAAATACCTTGGAGTACATATTACCACAGTATCCAGTCTTGCCCATGAAGTTTTTGCCAGGTTCGTTCGGAGCCCAGTTGGTGTAGGAAAGTGGTGAACCATCCGTCCACTCCCATCGTCCACCCGTACGCTTCAGTCCAAAATAGACGAGATGCCGAATATACCCTTTAGGGGCTGGAATAAAGAAAAAATGATTTTATTTGACATTTGGTTGGCATATGTGAATTCATTGCGAGATATTTGCATTACAGTTACTAATGCCATCTGAAATAGGTCATTTTGGTTGTCTCATGCCAATGAGCAATTATAATGTTCTTTCTAGTAGACCAAGTATACTCAACAATATGTAACTACATTTCTCCTGCTCCAGGGGTCTCCAGCTCATAACTTTGACATAAATACAAAACTCACAGATGCACTCCACATGTTCATTGCCCAATCAAAACGATTCTGTGCCTCTTCCAGCTGAGCCACACTATACATTCAATTGCTGTACAGTTATAAAATTGATGTTAATTGCAGGTGTAAATTATTAGATAATGTTATTTGTGTATACATTTTGTTCTAACTATTTATAGTTGCTTTTTACCTCATATGTCCAGGTATGTGTTTGGTGAGCACGCTATCAGCATACTTGCTGCCTAGTGCACACTTTGTATTGTCTTGTTACAACTCTGAATAAATAAAGTATAGAATGTGCATTCTGTGACTATTTTTAATGCTACACTATTTAGCGACAATATGTAGCAATTCAGGTCGATTGTCCGACCTAAATTCTTCCCCCCTCCCGACATGTAGGTTAATTTTTTAAAGAATGTTTTTCAAAATCGGGCCAAAGTGTTGAATAATGGGCCTTTTAGATAACAGTTTTTAGGAATACTCCATCATATCAACTTTTATATGCAGCAGGGTATGGAACGTACTGTAAGACAATAAGGCACAATGAACAAAATTAATCAGAAGTAATTTGATATTATCTTACACCGAAAACTTCAAGAAAATATATATAAACTGAACAAGGTATCCCATTGCTTCTCAGACTTCAAGAAATAAAACAAATAGTGAGAGAAAACGACAGTTTAAAAAACGGACATTTTTGTTGGCATCCCACTTAACCATTATTTCTTTCTAAATCCACACTTGATTATTAAAATGATAATAATACGCCACCTACCATCCGAGATGAGGCGTGCAACAAAGTTGTTCTCGTCAGCGCTTGTAACAGAAGCAAGGTTTGCACCATGCTGTTTGCACTTCCCGTTTGCAGTAGACCAGTCGACTTTGTCTTTGAACAGCTTGTAACAGTAGTTGTTATATTCACTCCACCCACTCTGACATGGTCGGGCTGTGAAAACGTCAGTGTTGTAACATAGCGTATTAGAAAGGGGGAGGAAGGGTACGGACAGACTTTCAGAACAAACTCTTGTTCCTTAAAAACCCTGGCGAAAATCTAAAACTACCTTTCCACACCTATTACGCCAGAGGGTTGTGGTTTAAGTAACGTTTGGATATGTATACGTGTGTATGTGTGTGCGCAA